TAAGATTACAAGCCAAAAGTCAAAGTGCAGATAGGGCTGATTTCCTGTTCCTGTTCTGTTCTGGCCTGCAGATGGGTTGCTACTATTTCATACAGTTGTACATGCATCTTGGCGTTTTTTTTTGTTTGTTTTTTTTTTGAGACAAGGTCTCACTGCGTAGTTGAGACTGACCTGGAATTCACTATGTAACCCAGGCTGGTCTCGATCTCACAACGATCCTCCTGCCTCAGCCTCCCGCGTGCTGGGATTACAGGCAGTTGTTTCTTATAAGTACAGAACATCAGTTGTATTGGAGTAGAGCTGCATCATCTTAAGCAACTCTTTAAAAACTCTTCTCCAGATACCAAGAGTACTAGGGTTAGGATTTCAGCATATATTTTGTAGGAACACAAGTCAGTCTCTAATTCTCAGTTATCACTCTTTATTCTTAACTGGCACTAATTTGTAAGTTGTTGAAATATAGTACACTCAAGTCTCTCATTTTAAGTGAAGTCTCACCCTCAATTCCTCTTCTGCTTTACCTGTAATTATTTCCCGTAAGTTTCTTTAAAAAGTTACCTATATTCATTTTTTGTATCTCTTTATTACTTCTTCAATATTTTGAAGTCTGGCATTATAGTAATCACTGAACTTGATGTGATGATAGTTACTATCAACTGTCTTTATTTTGATGATTCTCAAGTCTTTGTAGCACAGATTGCTCTTCAATCCTGATGCATTGCGATGATCTTAAGATACTTTAAGTTCATGTTAAAAGTCATGTATTTCATCTTTCTTGATATCCTCTTCTTCCTGTGATCCTTGCATATACCATTCAGTGGAAAAACCTAAAACCTTAACTTTTCCTCCTTATTATTTTATGTACTACTCTTCTTCCCACTACTCTCAAACTGTCTAAATATTTATCATATCTCTATTGAAGGGGGGCAACGCTGGGGATTGATCTCTGCCACTGAACTACATCCCTTGCCTTATTTAGGCTTTTGTGTAAACTTACTGAATGTTTTCTTTGTTTCTAAGCATGTGTAGTATTCCTCGCTACCCTGCATTTTTCTGTAGGCAAATTGTGGTTGTGTACTGCAATCCTTCCATATGGGCCTTCAAATTAAAATCCAAACTACCTACTTTAAAAAATGAGGACCTTAGTGATTTGGACCTTGCTTGCTTTTGTTCTCATCTTCTGCTCATGTTTTGTACCACTTGCCTAATATTCTTCAGTCATGCTGAAATATTTACATTTCTTCATCAGTTAGGATTTTTTAAAAAACATTAAGACCTTTATATGCCTAGAGTGTACCCTTTACCTGTCTGATAAATACCTATAATGTGCACTATTTTGGGTAATTACTACTTAACTTTTAGGACTCCGCTTAGGTGCTACTTCGCTTCTGGGAAGCCTTCTATATCCTCCTTTGGTTAAGTTAGGTTTTCCTGTTACTGTTTTCCATAGAAACTTATCACAGCCTTTATATTATATTGTAATTGTTTGTCCTTTTTCCTCTGTAGACTTGAATGCAAAGATCCTTTATTTTTTTTCTCTTTCAGGGTAAGTGGCTGACCAGTAGAGGCTGCTTTATTTTTGAATACTGCAAATGTAACTTTCATTACAAGAACATTGAAAGAAAGAGAAATGTTACATTCTCTTGAAGATAGATTGAATAATTTTGAAAAGTGAGAGGCTTGTTTACTTTTTGTAGCTTTATGTGACTAAAAGCAGAGATTGCTATTTATTTATCATTTGTCTAACAACTATTTAGTCATCATTTTCCTGTGTTCCGGGCACTATTCTAGATTCTAGGGTACTGCTTTGAACAAATAGAAGTCCCTGGACCTTAAATTTTAACCAAAAGCCTGAACTATAAACATGTTATATATCATTATATAACAATGTCAAATGGGTCATATGCAGAAAAATATTTCAGGTTCTCAAGATTAGAGATTCTGTGTTTGTGGGTGAGTTTCTTTTCCTCTCATGGTAATGGGAATAAAACCTCAGGATGCTCCATTGATGAGCTACATCCCCAAGCCCTTTTTATGTTCTTTTGAGCCATGGTCTTTCTTAGTTGCACATGATAACCTTGAATTTATAATCCTACTGCCTCAGTCGCTGAAGTAGCTGAGATTACAGGCATTGGGCCGTCATGAACGGCAGCCAGAAGTTTTTGACTAAGCTTAAGTTATTGGTCATAAACCCCAGTATGGTGGTACATGTCTGTAGTCCCAACAGTGTGCTTGTAGTTCCAACCCTCAGGAGACTGAGTTAGGATGATTGAGAGTTGGGGACCAGATTGGGCCACATAGCAAGTTCAAGACCATCTGGACCACAAGGTGAGACTATGTCAAAAAAACTGAAACAGCAACAAAATGTATGGATTATAGTTTACTAAATTTAATTTAGATTGTGTTATTCTAATTCATTATCTTGCTTAAATGAGGCTTACAGTTTTTCCTCTCTATTTCTTTGTTTTATATCAGAGAAAAAAACTTCAAAAGAAGCACAAAAATAAAAGAAAGTCAAAGCAATAAGCGTAAATAGTAGTTTTTTACAGATGGATACTTTTCTGTTTAGCTGCAACTAAAAAAGTGTCAGAAGGTGGTGGTGATACTCTCTGGGGTCTCAGAGTGGTTCAAGCCTTGGTGGGAGAGTCACTATTGTTTAACTGTTTCTATTGGGGGTGATCAGTCATGGAGATGCTTATATATACACCAAATATATTGTGTATACTAATCGAACAAGAGTCTCATTGTAGTTTACTAATGTCCTTTTATTGAAAACTCCCAATAAGAAGAAGCCTTGGATTTAAAGGGTAGGGTATCTCTCACAGCTGCCTCCTGGCTCTGCATACTGCCTTCTTACATACTATATAGTTTACCCATTTATTTTTCCCCAAATTATAATCATACATAATTAGAAAACATTTTCCATGGGACATGAATTTGTTTTTGTCATTTTCATTCATATATCATAGTGCCTAGCCTAGTGTCTGGCATTTTAGGTATTCAGTACATATTTTTTGAATGAATAAAGGAAGACTAGTCTAATGATAAAGTTTGTAAGTATTAGAAGGTGGATTGGAGAGCACAGAATTAGAACAAGGGGTACTAGATATTCCCAGGGGAAAGTACTGAATTTCATTGGCCTGACGTGCCCCTGTTTCAGTATAAGAAGATAGTTAATGGTCTGTTTATTTAGTGATTCATCTTTTTAATCTATTCAGCATACATTTTATTCTTACAGTATTTCTGTAGACCCCCCCCCTTTTCTCTCTGTGCTGTGATACAATTTCACATTGCTCCCTGGCTTCTTTTTGTCTAGCTCTTCCTCAGAACAGACAGCTTTTCTTGTCTTACTCTTAGCAGTTAAACTCACATTATTACTTTTCTCAGTTCATTGTACTTTATTGCACATTTGCTATATCCCTTCCACTGTGCTAAGTGATGCTATATATAGATGAATAAGACATGAGACAGTTCTTGCCTTTAATTAGTTCATGATTTTGTAGATAAGACACAACTAAATAAGAAAATAAGTATAAAAAGGAAGTGTGTACTATATATAACAGTAGGATAGAGGAGGGAACACTTTACTATCTTACTATCTAGTACAGGTAAAGATTTCCAGAGGAGGTATTGTTTGCCATGAGCATCAACTTTAATGATCTTTGTATTAGCTGCTAATACAAAGATTTAAAAAAAAAATCGAAGTAGCAGAATTGGGTCATAATGCCTCATTCATCCATCACTCAATCTTAACAGTTATTTTTGGTTTGAAACAAATTGGTTTGATTCTAGTGTAACTTTTTGTGTGTGCATGGTACTGTGGTGCTGGGGTGCTGGGGTGCTGGGGATCGGACCCAAGGTCTTTATGCATACTAGCACAAATGCTGTACGTATGAGCGGTTTCTCTGAGTCCAGCCATCCAGCATCCTTTCTCTGTTTTTTTGTTTGTTTGTTTGTTTGTCTTGTTTTGGTACAGGGAATCAAACTCAGGACCTTGAGCTGGTGAGCCAGGCACTGAGCTAAATCCCCGGCTGCAGTCTTTCTCTTATTCTAGGATTTTTGGTATTTTAAAATAATGTTATTTTCTTTGAGGTTTCTAGTGTGGTAAATTTTCTGTTTTCATTGTCTTTGAACTCTTCCCCAATCTTTACAGAAATTCATTTCTTTCTGTCATTGCCTTTATCTACTTTGCTTTTGACTTCAGAGAGTTTGGCAGTTTTTGTAGTACCTCCTGTCCACAATTCTCCAGGAATAAGTCTTCTAGCTGGGAATGGTGGCACATACCTGTAATCCCAGACTCTGCCTCAACCTCCATCAAAAATAAAAAGTTTTTTGCCTTCTAGTATTCTCTTTGTAGACTTGGACTATGGTTCCTGGTTTACAGAAATTTAACAGTATGGTTTACAGGAATTTAACTATTAAAACAAGGGTCATCTTCCTCCCATCCCTTTGTGGGAAGGCTCCTGTAATATATGCTAAATACTATATGATCCTTATATTTTGCCAATAGGCTAATTTTTGGGTTTTTATTCACTCAATGCCCATTCTTCCGTGAAAAATTAGAGCTTTCAAGTTTTCAGTGTCACTTTTCTAATAGCTTACATTTGGCTATTCTTTTCCCTCTTCTGAATATTAATTCTTCTTTTAAATGTAGAATAATATGATGGGTCCCTAGGTGATTTCATTCTTCATATCACTCTACCCTGTTCATACAGTTTCTCACTCTTCCTGTATGTTAAAACATCATTACCTTATTACCTTTTATTAAATTTCTTCATATTTACTTTGATGAAAGCTGACAAACACATTCATGACTTTTTACATTTTTATAGAGAGTAAGTTTGTTGATTCAGTTTTTTATCTACAGAAGGGGAGATGGTGCTGTAAGAAAGTTCTTTGGTTGTCATGCTTTGCCTCAAGGTGATATTTTTATTTCCATGTTTGATCCAACCTTTCTTTCATCACATTACTTTTTAAACTCCAATTTATTTCTTCTCAAGGGCTCAGTATTCTTTGTGCTGTCTTCTTGAACCTGGAAGACTCTACTGCATTTCCGGATGATTTTGGCTAAGTGACCAGTGAGTTTTCCAGAGTCCTGCATTCATCCTACCCTCTTGGTGGGGAAAAGATGCCTGGAGTTTAATCTTTGAGGTGTGTTGCTTACTTCTTACCATGAGGTGGTGCTGCAGTTACTTTTTTTTTAATACTACATCCTTTAGAAATGGTAGACAAAATAGCACATTATCTGCTAAAGAAGCAAGTTGACGTGAAAAGTATCATGAGACGACTCAGAAATGAAAGTAAGTACACTATTGTCAACAAATACAAAGTTACTTTTCTTTTATGTTATGGAAGTAGACCTTGTCCCCCAACTCCTCTAAAAAGAGCCACACTAAATAAACCAGGAATAAAAGAAACTTCCTTAAATAAAGTGTATCTATGAAATCCCACAGTTAACATTGTAATACATACTGTGTGCTTTCTCCCCAAGATCAGGGACAAAACTGTCTACTTTAGTTATATATTCAACACTGTGCAAGTAAACTAGAAAAAGCACCCAAGTCAAAAAGGAAGAAAGAAAACTATCTCTATTTGTAGATGACATAATCTTGTATACAGAAAATCCTAAGGAATCCATTAAACTATTAGAACTTCTAAATTATGGTTGCAGCATATAAGATCAGTATACAAATATTAGTCGTATTTCCAATAGACCAGCAATAATCTAAAAATTAAACCAAGCAAAGAACTCTATTCATAATTTACACAAACAATACTTAGGAAAAAACTTAAAAGTTCAGCATTTAAAAGATACAGGACTGATCACATCGATCCTACTGCCTCAGCCTCCTGAGTACTGGGATTACAGGTGTGCACCACCAGCCACCACACCTGGCCTTACCTCCTTTTATATCAGTGTATAATTGATGCTGATGTATGCTTTTTCATTCACAGCATAGTAGTTAAGCTGGACTTTCAGAGGTGCCTCAGTTTTAGATCTAAAATTGTTCTTCTTAGGTGGGTATGGTGGCACACACCTGTAAACCCAGTACTTGGGAGGCTGAGGCAGGAAGATTGTCATAAGTTTGAAGTCAACCTGGGATACATAGTGAGTTCAAGGTCAGCCTGAACTGCAAAGTGAGACCCTGTCTCAAAAAAAAAAAGAAGCCGGGGATCTTTTCAAAAAACAAAAAACCCCGGGGATTTGGCTCAGTGGTGCTGCCACCTGCCTCACAAGCACAAGGGCCTGAGTTTGATTCCTGGTACCTAAAACAAAACAAAAAAACAAATTAAAAAAATTGTGCTTTTAAAACTTTGTCAGTTAAAAGATTAACTAGAATTATTTTGGGAGGGGGGTAACAGAGATTGAAGCCAGGACCTTGTACTTGCCAGGAATGCGTGGCACCCGTGAGCTACATCCCTGGCCCTCAGAAACTCTTTAAAATACATCATTTTCCCCCATACCCTTTCCCCTCACCACTGTTCTCTTTTAATGGATTTGAAGCACAGATTGAGGTTTTGTTTTTATGAGGATCTCAAGTGACGCTGGTGGGCCTGGGCATCTGTGGGCCATGCCTTTTTTTTTTTTTTTTTTTTTTTTTTTTTGGTACTGGGGATTGAACTCGGGTCCTTGAGCTTGCAAGGCAGGCCACCGAACCACTGAGCTAAATCCCCCGCCCTGGCCATGCTTTGAGTAGGGCTTTTCTAGAATTAAGTTCACTTGGTAGCCACTAGTGGCTCTTGAGAAATTAAATATATTAGATTAAAATATGTTAGATTAAATATGTTAGATTGAAATGATGTGCGTTTTAAGGGTTAAATATATATAGGATTTTAATCACAGTATAAATATTTTTAAAATAATGGATTACATGTTGAAATGAACATTTTAGATATATTGAGTTTAATGTACTCTTAAAATTAATATTTTAATAAAATGAAAGTATTAATATTTCAACGTTGAAAGATAGTTTTGTGCGATTTGTCATTCTGGTTGGAAGTTTTGTTTTTTTTGTTTGTTTGTTTTTTAGGGCGTGAAACACTTCACTCCAACCCTTCCTGGCATTGAAGGTTCGTGTTAAGAAACCTGCTGTAATTTTAATGAGTTTGTCTTTGTATGTTCGTTGTCTTTCTCTAATAGCACCCTTCACCCCCATTGACCTTGCACTTGTGAGGCAAACAGGTGCCACTGATACACTCATGGTATCTTGAGTATAATGTGACATGGAGAGGTTTTCTTTTGGTCATGGCCATTTGGGGTTCTATATGTCTCACTTATCTGTAGGTTATATTCCTTTCCTATATTTGGAAAGTTTTTAGCTAGTGTTTCAGTACACAGTTTTTTCATTTGTGCTGTTTTAATTTTTTACTAATTCCAGTTAATCTTAGATTAGTGTTTGTGTCATCTAGCAGCTGTTGGATCCAATTTTCATGTTCTGTTGTTGTTTTTAATGTATCTCTCACTAATTGGGGTCACTGACACTTGTGCTGTCTTCTAGTTCTGTTATTCTTGGTTACATCTGTGGCCCTTGCTTTAGGTAGAATTTTTAATCTGAATTTGTTTGGTACTTTTGTATGTACTCTTGATTCTTTTCCATGTTGAGCATTCATATTTTGGATCATTTTGTTTAGTTCAGCTTGCTTTTTATTAGTGTCTTCTGTGGACTTAGTGGTTATTTTATTAGATCTATTAACTGTTTAGGTATATCTTCCTTGTTAACCATTTACTAATCTGGTTCTGTGTGTGTGTGTGTTTGTGTGTGTGATCGATCTTTTCGTATAATTTGGCTGTGTGGCTTTTGAGTTCTTCCCCCTTGAGGCCCTGTGAATTTGCTTTGGAGAACTTGGGAGATTTGGAGGCATTTTGTTGCCTTGCCCTCTCTTGTTTCTATTTTTTTTGTTTATTCTGTGTGTGTGTGTGTGTGTGTGTGTGTGTGTGTGTGTGTTGGCTTGAAGGTTGATTATAGTAGAAAGTTTTGTTGCTAGTATTGTTCCAGGCGAGATAGGTGGAGAGTCCCTGCAGTCCTGGACCTGACTTTCCTGATAATGCAGAAGGTTGTGGAAGAATCACATAGAGATTGACAAAGTGTAGAAGCAAAGTTGTACTTTTATTCAGCAAGCATGCAAGAGTACAGCTGCCTTCTGTGAGAGAAACAGACAGGGGTGCCGGAAATGGAGCCACCAATGAAGTTGGGCTCAAGGTGCTGTTTTATAGTATTTGGGGGCCTATTTTGCCTCTGGACTGAGGGTGCCCCTACTTGATTGGTTAATGATTAACTTGCTCATTACTAGGGAAAGCAGGAAAGGTTCTTGGTGTGTAGGGCTGCTTTTACATCTCAGGGCCAAGGTTCTTTTTCCTTTTGATCTTAGCAAACCAAGCTTTGCAGGGTACAGTATGAAGAGGAGGAGCAACTGCAAACTGTCAGCTTTTCACAGGTGGTTAGGCCTGTTCTGCCAGCTATCTGAACTCATTCAGCCAAGGGCGGGCGTGTCTCCTCATTTCTCCCTGCTTAAGGCTCTCTTATCCCTACAGTATGGAGACCTTTTTAGTTAAGATCTGTTTTTCATTGATGCTCTCTGGGTATGCCTAACTGTAGGCCCTTGACTCTGTCCCAGAATCTAACTACCTTCATTTATTTGGTTAGGGAGGCTGCAGTATATTTGGCCCAGTACCCAGTTATCTGGTACAAAGACCATCCAGATATTGTATTGGCATACAGAGAAAGCTTACTAAGCTATGTTACCTTGGATATAGTAATAAAATACAAGCTGGATATTGACATATCCCAAGAACCAATAATACCTTTAACCATAGAATAGATATATACAATTATAGTGTAAACTAAAGACATACCTAATGCTGACCAAGAGTAAATGTCTTATTAAATGGGACAACTTTGAGCCACCATAGCTCAAGCGCCGGGAAGTAGGGGCCCCGATCCTCCACGGGAAGGAGAATCATGCCTGCTTCCGACCCAGCCGCCATCGCTCAAGCGCCGGGAGGTAGGCCGGGCCCGATCCACCACAGGAAGGAGAACCACGCCTGCTCCCGACCCAGCAACCATCGCTCAAGCTCTGGGAAGGTCGCCCCAACCATAGCTCGGGAAGTAGGGGCCCCGATCCTCCACGGGAAGGAGAATCATGCCTGCTTCCGACCCAGCCGCCATCGCTCAAGCGCCGGGAGGTAGGCCGGGCCCGATCCACCACAGGAAGGAGAACCACGAACCACGC